ACCACACACTCAAACATAAATTGAAGATAGGAAAGAGCTCACTACTAAGGCATATGCATGCCTCTTAAATGCTACAGTACATTATTTATAAAGAATTCTGGTTGACATTTCCTACACTTCACTTAACTATTCTTTTATATTTTCTAACAAACCTCATTCTTCTCCCAATCTTTCTCTAAGGAAGCAGAGTAGGATTCCTTTGGTTAGATAAGTATACACTGAAACTCTTCTCTCCTCACTACCTCTACTCTTTCTATTTGGAGAAGTTTTTATTTGACTCACTTGTCAATATCAGTTTATATAAAGTTCATCTCCATTTTCTAATTCAAACTTTAACATGTTGTCAATTATATTTTCCTTATACCTTAGACACCACCATGATTACACCAAAAGCGTTTACTTCATTGCCTTGGACTTTTCTTATGTTTCAATGGATGCTCTGCAACTGTTCAACTTTATATTTGATTCTACATTTAAATTGCATTCTTAGCTGTGAGAGATTGTAGATGTTTCTACCAAATCTATTCAACACCCAAACCAACAAGCCAAACTTACTGCCATAGAGTCCATTCAGAAGAACTGCCCCAAAGGATTTCCAAGGCAGCGTAGTGGTTATGAAGCAGGCTGATTACTTCAGAGTCAGCAGTTCGAAACTATCAGCTGTTCCGTGGGAGAAAGATGAGGCTTTCTGCTCCCGTAAAGATTTACAGCCTTGAAAAACCCAGTACAGGGTCGCTATGAGTCGGAACCGACTCCACGGCATACAACAACAACAACAACAACAAATATTTACAGTTGTAGATCGCTAGATCTTTCTGCCATAGAGGAAGCCAACTGCCACATGTTTCTTCTGCAGAGCAACTGGTGGTTTTGAAATGCTGACCTTTTGTTTAGCAACTAAGTACTTACACATTGTGTCTGCAGAGCTCCTATTCAATCCTATATAATTAATGACTAGTGCTTGGTACAGGTCACAGTCTTCTAAATCGTTCATTCACTTTACATCAAATCTCTAATTTCCCAATGTTGGTCATTCTGTTATATTTCCTTTTAACATAATCATTGTTATAGTCTGGATTGTAAGTATTGTTCTAAAGTGCCATTGTTGACTTGGCTCCAACACTTAAAGACCCTGCAAAGTGTTTCCAAGGAGCACCATATGTATATATATTGTATTATTGTTTGATTTACTCTGCAGCAATTACTAATGATTATTTGAGCCACATTAAAAAAAAAATCACATAGAGAAATTATTACTTGATCTGATTCTGAAAGTTATGCCATAGGTATTTTAAATACCAGCAATTTGACCCATGGTGAACGGGTTTCAGATGAGCTCCCAGGCAAAGGCAGACTAGGAAGAAGGAGTGACGAACTACTTCTGAATATTTAGTCACTGAAAACCTTATGAATAGCAGAGAAACACTGTCAGATATAGTCCCAGAAAATGAGCCAATCAGGTTGAAAGGCACTCAAAATGTGACTGGGAAGAGCTGCCTTCTCAAAGTAGAGGTGAAACTCACTACCTCTACTCTTTCTATGGAGTAAAGCCCATGGGAAAAAAGCCTGCAGGACCTTCATTTGCTGATGGGCACAACTCAAAAAGTAGAGAAACCGCTGTAAACATCTATTGAATATCGGAACATGGAATGTACGAAGTATGAATCTGGGAAAATGGAAGCTGTCAAAAATGAAATAGAATGCATAAACATTGATATCTTAGGCATTAGTGAGCTGAAATGGACTGGTATTGGCCATTTTGAATCTGAACACCACATGGTTTACTATGCTGGGAATGACAGACTGAAGAGTAATGGTATTGCATTCATTGTCATAAAGAACATATCCAGATCAGTCATGAGGTACAGTGCTGTGATAGGATAATATCCATGTGCCTACAGGGAAGCCCAGTTAATACCACTATTATTCAAATTTATGCACCAACCACTAAACCA